CCTCCAGACTTGGCTTTCTTCTTCTGTATCTCCCTTCGCTTCAGGTCCGCTTTCGAGCTCACGTATACCATCGGGTTCGGATTTTCTGCTGCTTTTTGTGGTTTTAGGGTTTCTGGGTTTCTTCTTTTCTGAATTGAAGAAAACAGTAGCACACAAACTGTTCAATTGAAGAAGGGGCTGGAGGTTGGAGGCCGCGTCGATATGTGCTGTGCTCTGCACTAGGTCGGCAAAGGCGGCGTCGTTTTGGGGAACAGAGATGAAGAGGAAAAGGGGCGCGAAGTGGTAAAGGGTTTAGTGTTAAACCTGATGAAGAAATCAGCTGCGGCTAGGTCCATTCTATAATATCCTAACAGCCACTTGGAGCTCGCCATGTGTAAGAGATATTTTTTATTTTTTTTATTTTTTATTTTTTTGGGGTCAAACTTCTTTTTCTGAAGTTAGGTTGCGTTGCATTGTCGAAGAAAATATACAGAGAAAGGCAAAAGACAGAAGCAGGAAAAAGAAAAACTTGAAATCTCGTAACGATGGCGAAGCCAGTGTCTGATTCACACAGCAACAGAGAAGCAGTTCAAGCAACAAACGACGACGCCTCGGCCAGCAAACTGTGCGCGCCCTTAAACTTTCCATTTTCAGCTCATTTTTAATTAAGCCTGATATATTTGTAGTTTTGCATAAATGCCTACAAATTTGCATTGTTTAACCGCAAATTACTATTTTTTTGTTCTGGTTGAATTGCATATGCGTTTTTTTTGACCCGTAGGTTCTGTTTGGTTGCCGAGAAAATGAAAGAAAGGAGAGAGGATATTTGAATTTTAGATGAAGTGTGACAATGTTGGTTGCTTAGTTTTGAATTTGATGCATAATGCTAACTTTGAACTGTATTGTTGAAAAGGTCCTGCGTGAAGAAAGGGTACATGAAAGACGATTATGTCCATTTGTTTGTAAGAAGACCTGTGAGAAGATCTCCGATTATTAACCGTGGTATGTTTTAGTTGCTCAATCAAAGATAAGAGTTGAAAGCTCATGATGTTGTTAACTTTTTTCACAAGTAATGAGTGTTAATCTATTTGCTTTATTGTTTTTGCATAATCGAGGTTACTTTGCTCGTTGGGCTGCTCTTCGCAAGCTCCTGAATCAGTTTCTTGATACTGAAAAAAATGGGGGTGAAAAGGGTAATTTGAAGAAGCAGGTTTTATCACTTGGAGCTGGCTTTGATACAACATATTTTCAGCTGCAGGATGAGGGGAGAGCACCCCATTTATATGTGGAGCTGGATTTTAAGGAGGTACGAATTGTGAAACATTCATTACTATCTCATTGGTTCTGTTGGCAGCACACTGACTTTTATATGTGGATTCTGACCAACTTAGGTTAGAAGTTAGAACTTTAAGGAGTGAATAGTGTGTTGATGAACTCATGCTAACCCAACCTGTCCTGTCAGACCAAGTGTTGTTTTTCTGCTTTGAATTAATTAGCATTTTAACTTATCTAATATGGACAAATATTGTCTTCCATAATTTTGCGTGTACTTGCATCTATACTGGACAAGAAAGTAAAGACATGTGATCTTTGTTTGTCAGGTAACTAGTAAGAAGACCACACTTATTGAAACCTGCAATCATTTGAGGGACAAAATTGGTGCAACAGCTTCAATCTCTCAAGGTACCTACTCTAGTGTTGCTGATGTTATAAATCTATGGTTGAATCCCTTCTATTGACTACATGTGTCTTTGGAGTGTCTTCTTTGATGTGTTATGTCACTATATGAATAGCGCAGAGCCGCAATCTTCACTGATGTGCTTGTAAAAATTCCTTGGATGATTCCCCTTTGTCTTGTGGTTGAAAACTTTGATTCAGATCTTTAAGATTGTCAAGTTACTTATCTTATATGCACAAGTGAAATATACAAACTGTTCTTGGTACCCCATTATAGAATTTCTACTTTGCAGAAAAAGGAGAAGTGCTCAGTGACCACTATAAGCTACTCCCCATTGATTTGCGCAACATACAACAATTAGACGATGTTATAGCTTTGGCTGGTATGGATCGCAGGTATGTGCTTACAGTCAATTTTCTTCCTTTGTTGTTTATTTAGATCTCATTGCCGTACTTTGAACACTTAGTTTTGGGTCATTGGTGTCTTCTTTTATGGCTTTCCAGATACTTCCATTTTAAATAATAGCTATGGACTATGGTAGCTTCCTTAAAAGATTGTGATGCTTTTATTATTAGTCATATTGTATCATCCATACTAGTTCAGTACCCATTTTGGTGTTCACATGCCAAAAATACTTTACTACACTTTTAAGATAACTTAATTTTATCGACAACATTGTTAGTTG